CCGGACTAAGAATTACGATTTCCAGCATAAGATGGACAGCATCGTGTTTGATGAGTGGTTGGAACCGCCAATTCATTTGATGAAGCAGTTTGCTTTGATGAAGCCATGCCACTCTAGTGCTTGGTAAATGCTGCTGCACACAGAAGCACTAGAGAGGATGAGCCCTGTTTATGTGATTTGCGAACTAAGGAAGCGAAACGTGATGCGAAAGTGTGTTTCTGTCAGATTTCGACCAGGCGCTCCACTGATCATAAGCAGGAGATCGTAGAATATTTTCGCATGGCGTCGGAGTGGCCATAATAGTACGAAGTTTCTCACTTGAGCGGAGTTCGGTCATGGATCATAACTACCTCAGCGGTATTTTTACGCTATGTTTAGGTCAACCACATTGTCTTCAAGCAGCGCCTCAGTAAAACAGGAGAGCCGGCGGATAGTATAGAAACTGTAAAGGTCTCTGAAACGATTAACTCATTGAGGGTATTGCATCTAATGGAAAATGACTGATATTCAGGTCAGGGTGAGGGCATCGAAGGTACTGGAGGCCGTGCCAAGGCACCTCTGTGAGGGATGGTGTCGAGAAGCCTTAAAAGAAGAAGGTTCAGCAAGTTTTAAGAGGCTTTAGATGTCAACAACAATGATGTGAGCGACGAGGAGATATTCTCCTTATCAGATCATGTTACAGTAATCTGTCAGACGAATAGCTATGGGTCCAGCACAAATTGTAGATGTATTTTTCCAATTTATATAATAAGTTCTTTTTCGATCGCCGTGACAGTTCCTCACTGCATTCAAGAATTATGCTATTTACTCTTCCACGGTGTCCCGTTGATGTAAGCGATCCGTAAGTGGAGATATTTTGTCCAAAGGTAAGCAACGCTCTGATCGGACATCGGGATCGAATGAAGAGCTTTCACCAAATGCTTTGGAGGCGCAACCGAAACCACCGGCCGTGAGTTGGCAGCAACGTTTGGTAGCGTCCATACAGCAGTTTAGAATCTCTATAACATCGGTCATCGTAATATTTCTCGCGATGGGTCCTACATGAATTGAGCCAGTCTGACAAGAGCAACCGAATCATGGTCGCTGAGTCTCTTCCACTTCGTCCGCATCGGAATGGACCTTTTTGGAATATGTAGTGTCTGGGGACGAGAGCTGGACGATTTGTGCGAAACATACACGTAGCGTGACGGAGTGCCTCCAGCAGAAAAGCCGCATGTGGAGCCGAAAGCAGGTCTTAATGAAAAGAAGACTCTACGGTGTTGTTGGTGGAATGTAGAGGCTTTTTTGGAGCTGATCAATACTGGAACCGTGCTGGCGGCTACAATCTAATGTAATCAACACTATAACCTGGGCGACGTCATGCAGGAAACACACCCCGAGAGGCGCAATGTTTTTCTTCTCCATAATAGTCTCACGTGGCAACGAAGGCATGTCAAAAGATTACGGAGCTAGGTTGGCCGCACACAGCTCATTCGTCAGACCTAGCTTCTTCTGATTATTATCTATCAGGGTATTGACTCCACCGTCACGGGTTCGTTACCTATTTTGTCGTTCTCATATCCTCTATGCAGATTACTAGAGTTTTTCATTATTGCTAGGGCTTTTGTGCTAGTCTAACTTTGTATTTGCCGTTTTGAGTTTCTTTACTATCCAGACTTGGACTCAGGAACCCGATGCTTCTAAGTCCATGTTGTAACTTAGTTACTAGCCGGGTGTTCAGTTACTCGCTCTTTTTTATTTATAACTAATCATCTAACAAAAATAGAATTGAAGCAAATGGCTGAACAAGGAAGGAAAGCGTTCGCAAGGAAATAGTTGAGTCAGAATAATTTTGGAGGGCATTCAGTTGGTGTGAATAACAACGTATACACGAACATATTCTTGAATATTGATAGACAATGAAAAGTGCTGAGTAAAAACAGGGAGTTCGTGCATTAGAATTTAGGAGAAGGGAAATGCGGAAAAAAGGCAAAGTTCAACGGTACTCACCAACGAACCCACCTTAACCATGGCGATTACGGCATAACCGGGAAAATCGCTACATCACCCTGGAGTTTGGTAGTTGCTACACGCCAATTGCTTTTCACTGCGGAACCACCTTATTGTTTGCTAGGTCGATCACATTTCCTGGTTCGTCGAATTAGTCGAGAAATTCATGAACCCTCCTGCCTTTCACATGAATTGCAGAAACTTTGTTGGAAGATGTTGCCGCGTGAAGCATGTCGAAGGCATGCTTTACGCGGCAACATCTTCCAATAAAGTTTCTGCAATTCATGTATGACACCAAGTGATTCTGCGCCCTGCATGTCAACACTGGGTGCGAAATCGTTGTGTTATGGGTCATCATCTCCTAATGAAAAAGTAATTAAAGAGGAACTTATTTCCTTTTTGATTCTGAGGCCCATACTTTGATCTGCTGACAATATGGATTTCTTAGTCTAATAGTTATAACCTTTTTCTTACTTAGCGAAATCAGGTTCGTCGTTTCATAGTCTCTCCTGCTGGTGCAGGGTTTTTATAAGGTCATTCGTTTGAACTCAGCACTTAGGTGCACTCATAACAAGTTCCAGTCCTATTGCTCTAAATCTAATGCCGAATCTTGATCGCTTAGCAAAAAAGATTGATAAATGATTTAGTTACTATAAGATAATGCAGAGTTCAACCTCATTAGTTTCTATCAAGTTGCTTAAGTTTTATTTTTTGAAAACTAAGGAAAATTCAATCAAACTCTGCTTTGCACTGGTCAAGTGCACTTGGTAGATGTTTCTTCACCATACAGCCAATTCCGACTATGCCAAGCACAGCAAAAATACATGTTTCTCTGTCAAACATTCCACTTCGAGACCAGATATATCCCAGCATCTCATGCTCATAACTGGTTGTCTCCTGATACCTTGCTGTTTGTGTTGTTATACTAATAGCTGCTTAGCTTTTCCTAGGTTCCCTCTGATACACGCTCCCATTTTGTGTGTCAAATACTAACATGTGTTTGTGGATGTTTGTTGTTGTTTTTTGGCATATTCTATGTAATAAATGTGGATGTAAATGTAAACACTCAATTGCTTGCACGAAAAAACTGGAATCATACACAACTTCTTATTTGTGATCATAAACCAATTGACGTCCGTTATTATGCGTCCGTTGCGGCATTCTTTTCAGATTTTCATTTGCAACCGTGTATCCTTTGAAAATCGTTATTAATGAACACACGTCTTTGGGACCAGATAAAGTATTCGAGCTGCTTTGGGACACGAAAAAATGCTGAAATTAAGGGAACCGCCGACGGGCCACGCTGTCGTCATTGGGTTTAAGGACGAATTCACGATTAGAATGGGAGTCGAAGAAGGAGTGATCACCTAGTTGAGGGACCCGCGGACCTCCTAAGGGTGTTGACTGAAGCGCGATCGGCACCAAAGAGTTGTCTCGGCGACTTATTAAAGGAATCTTGCGCGGAAAATTCTTGCACTCTTTCCTAACATGAATATGTCAGTTGTGATCACTGGAAATAGCACACAAAGTTTCACGCATGAAGATTCGGTTTCTGAAGAGAAACAAACGTACAAAAACTACACGTTATGGACCATCGAAGGACCAGGAGGCAGAGCCAGGCGAGGCATGGAAAGAAGACGGCGTTTGGCCGGCTACGTACCAGGCGACGCAATGAGAGAATCGGGTTAAAGCGCGCGATTTCGGAGAGTGGAGACAAATCGATCGATGGAATAGGATGGAGTAGAAGTGTAAGATGTGAATGCAACGAAGCAGAAGGGCCAGAAAGAGCTTCTAGTGAATGCACTCCAAGAACCAAGTTTGAGCATCCCCGTCGCCAGCATTCGTGAAAGACGTCCGTGGGCAATTCGAACGCGTAGCAGCCTTTTCGAGTTTTCGAATTTCTAATCAAAACGAAAGCAATACTTCAGTTCTTTTCACTATTATCGTGGATAATGAGTCTCAAGCCAGTGATTTATGGCTGAAATAGAATCATGATTTTTCCGCGCAAGATTCCTTTAAGCTCAACGGCGGCGCGTGGGTCGAGGGCACCGCCTAACTACCAGTTCGCTGCGCCGTAGGCTCTTGCGTGGCGATTGATCAGATAGCGGAGAGAGTGAAGTGATGAGGAGGGCACCAGAGATAAAGAGTCGCATCAATGCGCAAATCAACGCGCAAGGGAGGGGTCCACTTCTCGGGTTCTGGGCTAATTCTTTCTTCTTTCGTGGACCACTCCCCACTCCCAAGGTTAACTTGGAATGAGTTGCTTTTTCATCGTGAATTCGTCCTTTAACGTGCGATAGTTGCGCGGCTATGGAAACCCAATATGACGGATACTCTGTGCTGTGCACTCTAAACTTTTATCCTTTCGATTCAGATTGATGCGACAGAAAAAGCTCGATGAGCACTCACTCGATGCGAATCCACAATGAGAATGCTGTGTACTATACTATGTTCATCATGGCAGCCACTTCATTTGCAGTAGAATGAATCTAAACGTCGAAACTATTCACTGGCAGGTGCCAAGGTAACAGGCTACGGTAGTTGCCGGACCCGAATCGCTGCGCAGTTTGCAGCTCAATTTGTAGCGTACCCATCAAGCGAGCCAAACCGTCCCGAATAAAACAAGACCTTCAATTCTACGAGAGAAAGTCAAGGAGAAGGGACGCTTCGAAACAGCTGTGCGGGACTAGAAATTCTTAAATGTAGCGCTGGCCCTTTAAAGCAACAGTCCGAGCAGGATTTCAACCATTCGATTCTAAGAGGTGAAGAGAATCACTACCTCTAGTAAAGTACAGAGATAGTGTCACTAATTTGGAAGCTCACCTTTGGAATCGTTGGAAGGGCGTCTAACGCCTTCGAAGGGGGTGGAGCTTACCGACTTTGCGAGAGCCGCCCACTTGCCGGATGTGAAGAGCGCGATTGAGTGCGGAGGGACTTGCGACGTTTTGGGACCACAGGATCAATTTCAGCTGGGTCCGTTAAAGCAATCGATGTGGTGCTGCAGTTTTTTTTGACTTTTTTTTTGAGACAGACGCACTTTTCCCCCGAGGAGAAGGCAGTTCTCGAATGATCGCTATTTGTTCTAATTTACTTTTCAGGAGCATGCTTCGTACGACGTATTAGGCATGCTTCGTTTCGTATTGGCAGGTTCAGACAACTCGTCCAACACACATCTTCCTCCCATTGCTGAGTGGCAGAGGGGGAATTCCTGTTCGACGTTTTTTTTTACTTTTTCTTTCATTACATTATCGGTGGTTTTTGCTCGCGTACTCTTCTTGGATTGTTGTTTTGACTGCGTAACTGCGGAAGTTTCGTATATTGTGGAATCTTCTGTGCGAAGGCTCACTCAATAACTATCGGGAGATTTCGATAAGAACGGTTCATTTTGAGCAAAGAAATTCAATGTACGAAGCGAGGTTGAAGGAGAACTGGTTTCACTTCCTTTTCGGCAATTTCTTCAGATGTCGACTTCCTCGTTGTCGTAGGCGATCGAAATAGTTCCCGAACAGGTACCTTGATAAAAAAAATAGCTCATTGCTTTACATATGCGTTCAAAAGCTACAATTTTGCTTTCACACAACAAGGCTTGTCAAAGCGAGGGATCACGATAAGACTTGGTTGGGTACAAAGTGGAAGCGGGAATGCTGATTCTTGCATGGCCACTTACCATGCCAAAGACCATGCTTTGATTTATAAATGCATTCCATGGGAACGTAACAGTTCACGCGCTCGATGTGGAAAAACAATGATGCTGCTAGCAACACCCTGATGGGTGGAGTACAGGCGGCGGAGGCGGAGCTCCCGAAGAATTTGCAGCCCAGAGCGCTGAACTAGCGGGCCTTTGGCGACGAAATGGGAACATCTCTCTTCCTCCGGCTCATGACTACTGTTGCTGAAGGGGCATGTACCTCCATTCTTACACACACTCAATCGTAATCCCTCGCTTTGAAAACTCCGTTTATGAAAGCAACAGTGGGGTCGAAAAAAACAATGACCCTTTCCTATCAAGATACTCTTTTCGCACCCCGCTAGTTTTTCTCGTTTGCTTCCACGTTTATTTCTACATCTACAGCCCATACCGGTGAGCGTAAGGGAAACGCACAGGGGCGTTTCGATGCGATTGGGCCGTATCAGGCCAAGAAGTGAAAAGAACTTTGAAGCAGTTGACAACTCGCCAATATACGTTTCTCAAAAACGTGATAACTCCGCCCATCCGCTCTTCCTATCTCTGTTTCTTGCAGTTTAGCATCGTAAAAGTATCTCTCTAATGCTGTCTGTTTGCTTTCACCTCTTATCCATAACCATAATTCATCTCTCCCATCCATCTTTCTCTCTCTCCTTCTTCTCATACCTTTCGTTCTAGCTCGGCTTTCGTTTCAGCTCGTATCTTCTCATCATCAAAGAGGAATTATCCAACGGAGCATTCTAAAGAAAAATTTCTAGAAGATTTCAGAACCTTTCAGTGTTTCCTAGAAAAGATGTACAGAATATAGTGAGGATGTATTAGGTTGGAAAGAAAGTCCTGCGAACACTTTTTCAAATTTTTGATTTTAATTTTATCTTTTTTGTTTACAACTCCTGACCGGTCTTATATCTACCATGAGTGTCCACCACTTGTCTTCCAACGCTCAGAAAATTTCTTGATGCTCCTTGCCAAAACCCAGCGGAGTGCGGGTCGAGAAAGGAGGCGACCTCACTTTCGAGTTGGAGTTGATCGTCTAATTATTTCGTCATCAAGATGATGATTTAAAGGTCCAGGATAGGTGGCAGTCATTTAGCTCGACCAGGGGAATACGCTAAGAGAGGTAAGAAATCTTGCCGCAGCTCCAGAATTTCTTACCGGGCTCATTTCGGATCATGGTGATTCGCAATGTCATGAAAGAAATGAATATTGTCGCGGTACGAGGGCTCTTGACGAGCTGCCTCGGCCAGCTTCTGGTATTCCACAGCCTAGGCCTCTACCTACACAATGGTGCCCATAACGAAGGATATGTAGTGGAGCTTCTGTAAGAGCCCTACCTGTAATGGAGTGTGAGGGACGCTGCTGGCTTCTTATAAAAATATCAAAAGATCGGAAGCGCTGGTAAAGGTGAAACACGCTGTAGCGGTGAACGACATGCCTATTGAAGCTATTGCAGATAGTGTTGGTCTTTGACACGAATCCATAGTTATGGAGACATTTGTACTAGACAGTGACTCGGAGTATGGATTTACTAGTGGTCGAGGTTTTTTGAATTTTCTTGGATAACTACTGACTGCAGCTTATATCCACCTCGTGGATTGAAGCCTCGAGAATGCTCTACCATTTGTTAGTCATAAATGTTACCTATGATTTTTCAGAAAAAAAGAAAATTTTAGAAAGAGTGTTGCAGAACTTTCTTTCCAACCTAATATTACGCTGACACTACTTCATAAGTCGGATCTCATCTCTTTGTCCAGTGACGGAACGGCATCTAGCCACAGCTCCACGCTCAGCGCTACAAGATCGCGACAGTTTAACTAAGAAAAAATGGCTGGTGAAGTAACTATGCAGGCGAAATAGGATTATTTGACCGTGTTATCACTTGGGTGTTATTTGAGAATGCTGGAAATTTGACCATCAGTCATACAATCCTGCAGGGGACCATTAATACGAGCTCAGCCAAAACTGAACTCAGCTGATCTTAAAGGAATCCTTCTCGGGGAATTCTTGCATTTTTTCCAACATGAATGTGTCAGTTGGGATCACTACACACAACGCACAAAGTCTCATGCACTAAGATCCGGTTTCCAAAGAGAATCAAACTCACGAAAACCACACTCTACAGACAGTCGAGGGTAAGTCGCGTGGAGCTAAAGGCGGGGCATAGAAAGAGGTGCGTCTTGGGACGGCTACGTATCAAGCGACGCAATGAAAGAATCGGGTTAGAGCCTTCGATTTTAGAGAACAGAGACAAAACAATCGATAGAATATGATGCAGTAGAAGTATGAGATGTCAGTGCAATAAGTGGAAAGGTCAGAAAGAGTTTCTAGTGACAGCACTCCGTTAACCAACGGAAGCGCTCCCGCCGCCAACATTTATTCTTTTCGTTGTTCCCATGGACGCTTGGTCTCAAGACAGTGAGGTATGGGTGAGATAGGATCACGATTTTTTTCGGGAAGGATTCCTTTAATACGAAATCAGTTGAAACCAACCGCCTGTATGACGACCGGAGTACGAGTTGCAGTGTTGATGTGGGATTGGATATGATACTTGTGGGCGACTTCGTACTAAAACCAAAAGTACTCAGACTTACATGAGAATTGAATTAGAGAATCACCTTTCTATATTCAGTGTTGAGTTCGAGAGGTGGCAACCATATGGCCTCCTTTGGCCCTTAAGCTTTAACTCACCTCCGAAGTTCTTGGAATATTCGTATTTCGATTTAAGCGGCTGTTGGACTCAGAACTTGCTGTTGTTGCCGTGTCGCTTCTGAACGGTGAAGAACCAGGCAATCCAGAATAGTACTGGGTGATGCAGAAATCCACCCACCTTGAGGGTAGATCTCCAACAGGGTTAGTCGATACTCTGCGAAACGAGTTACTTCACCACTTATTGCTTCGTTTTCATTCGTTATCTGGTCACTTTCGCTAGCCGTCGGAGTGCTCGGTGAAGGGGTCATTTCACCGCCCTTTGCCTCGACTTCATTCAATTTCTCTTCATTCTCTTTATCTGGAGATGTGTTCTCTAGGAGGCTTTGCACGGAGCTCTTCATATCGTTTCTTCCAGTTCCTGATCAATCCTCTTGCCTGTCGGAGTGCTCTCCAAAGGAGCCTCTTCAGAAGGCCTTCACATCTGCGTCATCCGGGTTCTCATCAATCCTCGTTAGCTGGAGATATGCTCTGGGAAGGAATCTCTCCTTCAGCATCCGTTTCAGCATTACTCAATTCCCGATCAGTTTCCTTCGATATTGGAGTGCTTGCAGAGGGAGAGTTCCCTCACGACTCTTCATTTCGCCTTCATCCACTTTCTGATCAGTTTCCTCAGTTGGCGATGCGCTCTTTGGAAGATCCTCTCCAGCGCTCTCACTGCTTAATTTCTGAATCTCCCCAGCATCATCTGCTGGTACTGGTGGTTCTGGCGATTGCTGGTTGCTTCCCAACTCATTCTCGGGCTGATCGCTCGTCTCATTTTCCATCTCGGGTTCACCTTCTTTCACCTCACCGCGCTCCGCGTTCTCAGTAATAGTGCCACTATTGTCATTTTCAATTTCTGCGGTTGGAGGACGAATTTCAACTTTCGCTCCCTCCTGCGCTAAGGAGTGCTTCACTTCAATCTTCTCCTCTATGTCGTCCCCATTCACCTCGGAGCCATCTGCTTCCTTGCCAACTTCGCCATCGTCTTCCTGTACCATTTCCGCTTGCAGAGAATGTGTTTCATGCTCTTCAACTTTCTTGTGGTTCTTCAATTTGTCCCTCAGTACCGCTTGCAGCATTCTCGTGAGCTTCTGGGCCCCATGCATTTTTTCATTTAGCAGACTGCGCGAACATTTGATCACATCCTGAAATAAGATGATTATTATTCCATGAATTTTGAAAACGTTCTGAACTGTGTTACGGTAGAAGACGACCATTCTTGGGCACATTGGAACTGGACAAGTGATAACTATTGCTGGAAAGTTTCACAAGTATGCTGGGTAGTGAACAAACTTTCGCCCTAGGCGGGACTAGAAACCCGCAACTCTCCTTTCCGGGCAAACGCGCTACCGGTCACTAGTTACCAGAAAAATCGGAACCAAAAGCGAAAATCTTTCCAGCAATAGGTTTTGACTTGTTTTTGTTTGTTAACTAACTAAACTAATTAAGCGTAACTGGTAGCGCACTTGCCCGGAAAGCGAGAGGTGCGGGTTCTAGTCCCGCCTGGGCGAAAGTTTTGTTCACAACCCAGCATTCTTGTGAAACATTCGCAAGGCGAACTGCGGCCAAAAACAGCAGTTAACAAACAAAAACAAGTCAAAATCTATTGCTGGGAAGATTTTCGCTTTCCGTTCCGATTTTTCTTGGGTCTATTCCTATGAAATAAATGAGCTTACCAGGAAAGTCTTTCAGGACATGGAGCGCTTTTTAAAACGGTTTGTTGCATGTTTAGGGGCACGTGCGTGGAGCATAAAACTGATGATCATTTTTTTCTGAGCGGCCCTGGGATTGCCAGAAAAGAGCAGAAATTTCCATGTGAACTTTCCCATTTTTAATAAACTCTACAGCATTTGAAGCATTGAATAGTTGCATTTTGGAAGCTTTTTGTTCACTGAATAAGTTCAGACATATATGAGCCCAAGAAAGTGGAAATCAGAGAAATGCAAAAATTTGTCTTCAGTGGGGATCGAACCACAAGCTGTGGTTTCCACATGTTTTTTAGGTTTCCTGGAGCAGCTTAGAAAAATTTATTCTTAGTAGTGTCACTATAACATGCAAAAAAGCTTTTTGAAAAAGCGCTTCATGTCCTGGAAGACATTCCTGGTTAGCCTGAGAAAGCTTTGAAAGAAGGTTAAGAATAAGGAAATAAGAAGAACGTGGTCTGAGAATGGAGACTTCGCGGGTTCCACCATGATCACCCCTAAAAAGAACCACTGCGGAACAATTGACTAGCACTTACAGAAAGTAGGTCCTTGTTAACCACAACAGAGCATGTTTGACTGTACTGAGCCAGCAGTTTGGTAGGCCAGCCGAGATGTCTCGACGAATCGCAGTAAAGTTGATAGAGCTTGAAACAAGATTTCATCCGAAAGGTGGGTAACCATGAAGTCTTCAACTAACCTCATCGTCGAAATCGGCTCCATAGGAGAAATGCGAGTCATTGTCAGCCTGAAATATTTCATTTTGATTTCGTAATTTCGACAAATTTCGATACCCAACACTTGATTAGTGCAAATTTTAACAAGCATGCTGGCATTAGAGATCTGTCGAGTAGCGAGCGAAGCTATTATAGTTTCAGCGGAGCGTTTTGAGTGATACACTCCAAGTGATATGTTTTCGTGGGTAACAGTACGCGATCGAAGCGGAAAATGTGGAGAACTTATCGACAGTTACAATCGAAAACCTCCTAGACCCTCAGCGCCTTTCGTCGGCGTGCAAGGCGCCGATTTTGAGGAATTTAGAATGGATTTCGAGGGTGCGGCACCATCAGCCATACCGGCACAATTACAAGAATGCCATCATGTCCCGTGAATCGAAGAAGGATTGGACTCTTTGGGAAGAGAAGCGGTTAGCGAAACCATAGGAAATAGGGCTCTACTGCTCATGTTGAATAGTTATGAAGTGTTCCGTGGCTTACTTTTTATATAAAAGCATAGCATTTTTAATGGGAACTCGGATGGTATACCTTCCCGGCGGTTTTCTTTCTACAGGGTGGAGGTTTTGTTCCAATCATAAGTTGGGGGTCCAAAATTGACAACTGGTGAGCGCATTAAATGTGAAAATATAGCTATCGTCAAAGTTATCTCCGCGAAGCAGGGGCATGAATATCAAGGGTCACAACTCAACACAGTGACGCTCGCTAATAAGTACTTTCGAGTGCCGTGATCAACGCAAAAGTTCGGAAATAGAGGTTGCTAATATTTCCTGAGGCTATCGCATAGAACTCAACCAGTTGAGTGCGGGTTAATATTTCCATGTCCTCAAAAAATCATGGAAAGGGTAGACACGAATGGGAAATTCCCTTTTAATAGATTAAAATAACGCGTTGGTGGATTATCGAAATACTTTAGGTTCTCCATGAGTTCGCTCGTTGGGGGCATTGAAATGGTGCTCGCAAACGAAAGAGCTAGTTCGGCGATAAGTGAGGAAATTCTACAGCAGCTCAAGGAGCTTGCGCTTTGGTAAGGAATGGGTAGTTAATCTTGGGAGTTTTATCAACCTCGTCTCTGTCTTCTTCGTGATTCCCGTACAGTTTAAGATGTTCCAAATTCCGTTGCCCATACTCCAATGCTGATCCATCGAGTAGATTCCTCGTTCTGCTGTGTGTTCCTCAAGAAAATAGAGTTTTTAGCTGACCGCGAAGTTTTATCAGCCATTTGGAATCCCCCTCCATACGCTAAAAAACTGTAGAAACAAGAGAAATTATGTTTGGCGCAGCTAACACCCTTAGCCACAAAAAAGTTGCACACGTCTGCAGAGCACTTCTGCAAGCCAAACGTGTAGCAGCGGCTTCCAAATTTTTGCTAATGGATCTGATTTGATGAAAAATTTGCAGAAGTTCCTTAGTTTAAAAATGAATGTCCTTAGACTTTATCGCACCACGGCAATTGCCATGCTCCTTAAAACAGCCGGGTTTTTTCAAAATTCAATTGATACGCATTTTTAAC